ATAAGTCCCACAAGAATTATTCATTCGTGAACAATCCAGATCGTTGCGTCGACGTTTATCCGCTGCCGGTGAACGGTCATTGTTACACAATTATTCTGATCGAGCCAGCGATTCTACCAATCATGTATGTATTTCCCACACGGCCAAGACAATAGAAAACGAATTAGGAAGTATCTTTTGATATTGTCATTTAAAAATATCGATTCGTGAGACTGTTCTTCGCGAAAACGATACAACACGTGATTCAACGAATACTTTTGTAAATATAAATTAAGTTTAAGTTTATAAGTTCAAGTTTAGTTAAGTTAAGCTTAAAAACTTAAATATATAAATTATATATATATAAATATATTTTTCTCAGGTTTGATCTTTTAACTTCACAAAAAAATTCTAATAGTTAAATATCGTCGAGAAAAAACTTAATTTATATATTTATATAAATATATATACGATATTTAACTACTAGAATTTTTTATATTTATATATTTATATAAATATATAAATTAAATTTTTTCTCGACGATATTTAACTATTAGAATTTTTTTGAGAAATTAGAAGATCGAACCTGAGAAAAATGTTTTCGTATTTTAGACACTATGATTTCGGAGAGACCCTGATAATTTTTTTATTCGGAAATATCAGTCTGTTTTCGAAACTAGAAACGCGCTGAAAGCGCATTGTTGTCAGAGATTAGTGTACCACTGTAACGCGTTATTATTGCTCGGCTAACGGCAACACTAACGTCGGTCCGCAATCCGAAATATTATGCAGGGTGCCTGTGTTTTCGTTCACGGATCAATGGTCATGCGTTTTAATTAATCAACTGGACAAAGGAAAACGCGGACTTTAAAACGCGGGAAAATTCATGAACTTCTTAACATTCCGGGACGAAAGGCGTGGAAGTGTCCCGGCAAGAAAGTTGTTTCCCGTTCGACAGGCCGTTAAATTTTATGCCCGCCGTTCTACTTCCTAGAACGCCGCGCCGTTGTCGTTCTTTCGGCGACATACCTATTTCTTGGAAGCTCTGATCCGCGATCTCGGATCCAGCGTCGATCGCCGTGAATTCCGCCGACTTTTCGCAGGCAGCCGATGTTTCCAATCGATGGGAAAAGATTAAGATGTGTCCCAAGGTGATAGGGCTACCTTGGAAAGAGAGAGAGTAGAGAGAGAGAATATAACGTCGATTCTAAATAATAATAATAATAATATATTATTATTATTATTATTATTATTATTATTATTATTATTATTATTATTATTATTATTATTATCAATTACTATTAATTATTATTATCAATAGCAAAAATTACAATACTACTTGATTAACAGATTTATTTAACATATATCTCCCCATAAACAAAACAAAAGACTTTCTAAGTACAAAATTGAACAACAAAATAAAATTATATATTTAATCAATATGTGTCTCTTTATAAATGAAACAAAGCAAAATACTTATTCCAGTATAAAATTGAAAGACAAAACAGATCAATGTTGCGACATGATGAAACCCAATCTAATAATACTAGAATAAATAAATAAATAAATAAAGAAGAATAAATAAATGCAAACTCCCTTCAAAATACAGTTCTTTGAACATCTAGACGTATGGCCTCTATCGTAAATTGTTTCATCGTGGCTTTTTTAAACGGCTTCTTCCTTCTGCAATGTCAAACATCCTCCACAAAAATAAATATAAAACTTTGCAGTATAAGTATAAAACTTGTATAAGTATAAANATTATTATTATTATTATTATTATTATTATTATTATCAATTACTATTAATTATTATTATCAATAGCAAAAATTACAATACTACTTGATTAACAGATTTATTTAACATATATCTCCCCATAAACAAAACAAAAGACTTTCTAAGTACAAAATTGAACAACAAAATAAAATTATATATTTAATCAATATGTGTCTCTTTATAAATGAAACAAAGCAAAATACTTATTCCAGTATAAAATTGAAAGACAAAACAGATCAATGTTGCGACATGATGAAACCCAATCTAATAATACTAGAATAAATAAATAAATAAATAAAGAAGAATAAATAAATGCAAACTCCCTTCAAAATACAGTTCTTTGAACATCTAGACGTATGGCCTCTATCGTAAATTGTTTCATCGTGGCTTTTTTAAACGGCTTCTTCCTTCTGCAATGTCAAACATCCTCCACAAAAATAAATATAAAACTTTGCAGTATAAGTATAAAACTTGTATAAGTATAAAACTTTATTAAACTTTGCAGTAGCCAATAAAATTATCTAATTTTATCGTCCCTTGGCCGTCTTTCGAGCATTCGAGTACACAGTCACCATAGTGAACTAGCACCACTGGGCGTACCATAACCTCTGGCTTCTTTTATTTTTGTTCTGAAACCGTTCATGCCCTTCGTTTTCTTCGCAAAGCATTACGTATCGAATAAATTTTACGAGTCACGTGATACCCAATTGCCTCACTTTGTCAAGATTTTTCATTGAATTTCTCAGAGGGCTGAATGATTTTTGAACACTCCATATTTTAATCGGAGTCATCGATTCCTCTTGTCACGGTGACATGAAAATTATTTCAGCTCGATCAGCGTCGTACAGAACGACGCTGTCCCGGCGAATGTATGCGTGACACGCGGCTTCCGGAGGGTGACTGGAATCTTCATTTTATTTTCGAAACGATTCCATCTGTCGAACAACACCGACAGCCCGTTCCGACTCGTGGTACCGATCGAAAAACGCCTGGCGAGCGCCGCACCGATTGAATAAACATTGTCCTGGGTTGTATTGACTCGATGCAGAAGTACCGGCGGCGTCAAACAATATGTTTCGTCCAAGGTTTAATCTCCTCCTCGCGGGCTTGTTTTGTAGGTACCGATACGAATTGATGTGCCGCCACCAGTCCAAGGTTAATTCGAGATTAATTCAATGAAATTGAATAAATATTTTAGTTACCATGAACTAACCCCTTAATGCACAGTTTTCTTGAAAAAGGCCGGCCAAGAAAAATCAATATTTTTTTAATGTAAAAGAACACAATTTAGAACGTTGTCTTGGCAAGAAAATTACAAAGATACAAAAAATAATCAAAATTTTTATTGCAATTTTGGATTTTGATAACACTGCAGAAAATAGTCGAATATTGTAATATTACACGCACGCACGCACGCACGCACGCACGCACGCACACCACACACACACACACACACACACACACACACACACATCGACTTTTTTTATCTTTCTTTTCGAATTGCCATTTTTCAGAATAAATATTATTATGAGTAAAAATATTTATTTATACTTCTAAAACATAAATAATAACAATACTAGAGTATTTATAAAATTAATCAAAATTTTCTTTTATGTGATATATTTCGAAACAAGGTGCAGCACATAGCCCAACATTGCAACTATTACACATGTAACGACTCTCTTTTCTTTCCCTTTTTCCTTTGCTATCTCTTTTACACACAGCGCAATATCTTGTGGGCGATTCTTTTTTTGGTGTTGGTGAAACATTGATGTGGTGGAATTTTGATATACTGCGCTTTTGTTCCATGGAAAAAGGCTATATTTTATTCTTGAATAAATAAGTGTTACAGCCCATGTTAATGATAAATATCAATAAAACGATTTTTTTCTTTGCTTTCACATTCGTATTTTCAATTCTCGATTATATTCGAGTGTGAAAAATTATAGCAGCATAAAATACAATGCCGCTCGAATTATCTCGAGTGTGCACAGTTTGGCCTGTTTAGGGGTTCATAATAATAATAATATTAAGACAATGAGTTGAAAATTGCTGTTAGCATCGAGAATGCGAGCGTACAGAAATATTTTCAGCGAACCAAACCTACATACGAGCCGTTTATTTTGAAGGTGGCATAAGTCACTTTACCGTAATGAAAAGTGGTGATTTTTTAATGTTTATACGAAATTATTTATACTGAAAAAAATATCAGTATCCTGAGATAACAAATACAAGTAAATCTTCTCGAAAGTTAGCATCCATATTTTTAAACGTGTTGAAACGCAAACCCTTAAATATATCGACTTAAAAACGAAGCGACTTATGCCACTTTCAAAATAAACGGCTCATATAAAGTAAAATAGCTTTCTATATTAATGCTTTTGTAATTCAATCCTAACTGTGTAAATCAAGGTCATCCGAAGTTCATAGTATAGCAGATCGATGAATTCATATTTTGATCGACAACAACCCTGCGGGGTCAAAAATACGGGGTGCCGTTTGAAGAAGTCAAGATGACCTTGACTTTTGGTCGAAAGACAATAGCTTTCGAAATTTGTTATTTTTCAATATGTAATCGACTACTAATATGTACTGATCATCTTTCATTCGAGGCATCTTTTTGTCAGTCGAGTACAAAAGTATGTATATGAAACGTTACGACCATGAAATATAAATATCAAATACATATTTAGAAATTAGAAAATAATTCGTATAATCACATTCGAACAATTTTTTCGATTTGTCTTAAATAGCAATGAAAGTTCATTGAAATTTATTCTGCAACAAATGCGAAAGAAATATTTAATTCCCGGAAGCAAAAAGATTACTATTTTTTTAAATTATTTTGAGTAAAAATTTCATTGCAATATCTCGAACGGTTCAAAAGCGACCGAAACCGCCGTGCGCCAAATTTAATCGACGGATCTAGTACCCTAATTCGCTCGGTAGAACCTCCCCCGACAGCCCCGATATTAACTCCTTATCGGACGTCCGTGGCTATTCAACGTTAAATTCCCTAAAATCAAGCAACAAACAAACTTCAAAGAAATGCTGAAAAAATTTACATAATTCTAATTACTATGAAAAAGAAAAATAGGTCCCTACTGCAGGGGGGGGGGGGGTTGATGGAAATTTTCGAAAGGAATTCGATTTCTGTGACGGTTTACCGTTGCCGGAAGAAGGTCAAAGAACGCCGCGATCTTAATTAAAATATAATGGCAGCCACGATCGTAATATGTGTTTCGAACGAGGTAGAGCGATTTCGTTCAGTCCGCGTCGAGTTGTTTAGTTTGATCGGTCCCGGAGGTCCTCGGTTCTAGCACCCGATCCCTTCGTTTTCCCCATCGATGACACAGGCTCGATAAGAACGAGCAAAGTCGTCGATCGTTCCACGATCAATCCACACCAGCTACCTCGGTCTCGATCGGGACTGCGTGATCCGCGAGTGCTGCCTCTTGCATGAAACTCACCGTCCATAGAGATCACCATGGCAACCTTGCTTAGACGATTCTACCATGGCTATCGCTACATCAACGACGAACTATCAGGTATCGCTAGTGAGTCACACGTACGGAGACAGTTTTCGGAACTTTGTTTTCGAGAGGGAACGCGAAGGTTCGCTGTCGAAGGACGATGCGGGTGAAATTATGTTCGCGTTGAGTAATTAACGGCTGCAGGAAGACGGCGCTATTTTCAAATACACGTTGCTTAGTTAGTTGTTTGCTTGGCGACTCCAACGGGGAAACATTTTGTTACATAGGACGAAGGAGAATTATTGAAGGGGTTGGTTAATTTAAATTTGATAATTTGGTTAACCCCTTAACGTGCACGCTCGAGTTAACTCGAGCGCGCTAAACTGGCCGAACTGTGCACACTCGAGATAATTCGAGCGGCGTTGTACTTTATGTTGCTACAATTTTTCACACTCGAATGCAATCAAGAATTGAAAATAACAATGTGAAAGCAAAAAAAAAACAATGGTTTTATTGGTATTTATCATTTACATGGGATTGTGTAAGCTATAACACTTGCTTATTCAAGTATAAAATATATACTTTTTCTATACTTATCAGTTACGACTTATAGCTATTAGTTATCAACTAGGGTAAACTCTATAGCTAGCTGTAGTAATATAATATGATTTAGGCACGTTCTTAGGGCGAGAGATTTATATGTTATCAGTCTTATATCGATTGTTGTTGGTAAAAGAAAAGGAAGAGTCTTAGAAAAACTTTTACCATCTATCTTAAATATGACTTAGGCTACTTAAAAAATAAATAAATAAATAAGGTAGTAGGTGTGGGGTGAGGAGTTGGAATGGGTGGGTTAGGGTTCGGAGGATCTAATTACAAGGGAACTTAGAACTAATGTTGCTGTTAAGCATTTAGCGCTATATAAGAATTGTGTACAGGTTTTAAGACAATCACTGATAACATCTTATATACTCGACCAATACTCCATCTCATCGACATTATCTATATCGATCTTATATGGTACAAACTTTAAATCAAAATATCTCAAAACCAACAGCTCATTATGAAAGATCCTATTAGGGTTTCTTGACGTTAGGTGCGTACAGTAACTTTAACCCATTATCAAAAGCGAACGAGGAGATATCAGGTCGAGTCATAAAAAAACTTCCGTTTCCTTAACATACATTTGTCACGTTTTCTGTTCTCATTGAAATTTCTCGCCCTTCATTTTATTTATTCCGAGCCCTTATCTATTTAGCGAAATCAAAAAAACTCGCGTGACGGAAATTCTTTATGATATACTCGACCGGAATCGTTCCCAAAGAGCTTGTCGAGGAAGTCGAGCGTGTCGCAAAAGTGTTTTCCTTTCCAAAGATCCGCGGACCCAGGACTTCTGGCTGATCGGCTCGCCGTGGGTAATGTTGAGCATAGTGGCGATGTACTTATACTTCGTGCAGGATCTAGGCCCGAAACTGATGGCGACGAAGCGACCCTTCAATTTGCACAGGGTGATGCAGATCTACAACGTTGTGCAGATTGTACTTTGCGCGTATCTGCTATTCAAGGTAAATATAAATAATAATAGGTAAATATAAAGTCTCCGAGCATGCCACAAGGCTGAAGCGCTCAACGACTGGATCTCCTATCGCTTCTTGGTGGTTGTTTCAGGCGATGACCCTGTCCTGGATGGTAGACTTTAATTTCTTTTGCCACGTGGTCGACTACTCGCCGGAGCCGCGACAGATCGAAGTAAGCGGACTATTTCGAACGGGATCTTGGACCGAAGCATGAACTCGTCGCCGTTTCTCGGTTTCAGATTGCCAAGACGGTCTGGTTGTACTTCATGGTAAAGCTGTTGGATCTGCTCGACACGGTGTTCTTTGTTCTGCGGAAAAAAGAGAACCAGATATCGTTCCTGCACGTCTATCATCACGCCGGGATGGCGTTCGGCACGTGGAACGCCGTGAAATTTCTGGCTGGCGGACACCTTATCTTCCTAGGTGAGTTCGGCGCACGAAGTCGACCCTGTTTCACGTTGTCGACGGTTGTTTTGGCTTCTTACATGACAGGACGACAGAATCATTGTAACAGCTCCGACGAAAATCTAGGTCGTGATGTTACATGGAAACTCCTTCTTCTTCATGGAAACTTCTTTGTCTGTGGATAACGTTGGAGATGTAGTTCTTAGTTAATAGTATACTGTTCCAGTTGAGAGAGAGAGAGAGAGAGAGAGAGAGAGGGAGAGAGAGAGAGAGAGAGAGAGAGAGAGATAGTCTCTGTAATAGCTGCTATCAGACTAGCTACTGCTAGACTGTACCAGCTGATATAAGACTGTACTGATATTAGACTATACTAGCTAACACTAAAGTGTAGCAAATTATATTGAACATATGCTTCGAGACTGTTCGTGCTAATATTAGACTGTACCAGCTGATATAAGACTGTACTGATATTAGACTATACTAGCTAACACTAAAGTGTAGCAAATTATATTGAACATATGCTTCGAGACTGTTCGTGCTAATATTAGACTGTACCAGCTGATATAAGACTGTACTGATATTAGACCATACTAGCTAACACTAAAGTGTACCAAATTATATTTAACATATGCTTCGAAACTGTTCGTGCTAATATTAGACTGTACCAGCTGATACCAGACTCTAGTAGCTACTGTTAGACTGTACCAACTGATATAAGACCTGTCTCTTATACACATCTAGATGTGTATAAGAGACAGATATTAGACTGTACCAGCTGATACCAGACTCTAGTAGCTACTGTTAGACTGTACCAGCTGATATCAGACTGTACTGATATTAGACTATACCAGCTAACACTAAAGTGTACCAAATTATATTGAACATATGCTTCGAGACTGTTCGTGCTAATATTAGACTGTACCAGCTGATACCAGACTCTAGTAGCTACTGTTAGACTGTACCAACTGATATAAGACTGTACTGATATAAGACCGTCTAAAGTGTACTAAATTATATTCAGCTGTGCTTCTAGATTGTTCGTGCTAATATTAAGCTGTACCAGATGCTACTAAACTGTGGTATGTGGTAGCAGATCAGTGTGTACTAGATAGTACCGAACTGCATTAGCTGATACTAAACTATATTGACTCTCACTATATTGCACTAGCTTCTCTTAATCTATACTATTTACTACTACCTGCTATTACTATCTAAAGACAACACGAAGAAAGGAAAAGCTGTTCTTCATCTTCCAGTTACGTTAAGGACGTTACACCTAGCTATTACTAGAATGTACTTGTTGCTACCAGACCGTGATAACAATCAGACTGTACCACCTACTGCTAGACAGTACTAGCCACCAAGATCCCAACACAATAAATCCTCTAAAAGGGACAGTTAAAATATCGGGATAAGTACACTGACGAATCTACTGTTGCAGGAACAATCAACTCGTTCGTGCACGTGGTGATGTATAGCTACTACCTGGCGACGTCATTCCGCATGAGCAGACCCTGGTGGAAGAAGCACATCACCCAGCTGCAGCTGTTCCAATTCTTCTTGCTCCTGGTGCACGACCTGACCCTGGCGTGGCAGACGGATTGCCACTTCCCGAAGTGGACGGTGGTGGTGTTGATCCCGCAGAACGTGTTCATGATGGTGCTGTTCGGCGACTTCTACTACAAGTGCTACATCAGGAAGTCGCAGGCGAAGGTCAGCCAGAACGGCGTCACCGCGGAAGCGGCGAACGGGAAGCTGAAACACAGCCAGTAGGAGTTGTCGCGGGAAACCAATGTGTGTCTATAGGGCCCGTTGCCCGAAGGCACCAGGGAACACCCAGGGAACCACAGAACCGGTCGCGAACACTCCACCCACAACTTCCGGACAGCTGAACGCCCACGCGGGAACGCACGCTCCGCGAACGGGAAGCGTTCGCGTGACACCACCGAGTTACAGTTAGCTCAGTCTTAGGGGGACATGACCCTGATCTGGTCCAGTTGTCACGATTCATTCTGCCAGCACAATCGACACACCCTCGCTCCGCGCCGCGACGCTTATCCAGGCAGCTGACCGTCCCGACTCTGTTCTCGGATTCTTCCTTCTCCTATTTTCTTCCGAACCGTGGTAGACGCTTCCAGATCCTTCTGTTGTTTGATCTTCTAGACTGCGATAGACATGAGGCTATTTCGAAAGAGGATAGCTCCTTGTCGTGTTCTATGACCCCCTTGTTCCTGTTCTATGCTGACAATGAGGTTATGTTGGACATACATTGCTGTATACATGACATTATTTCACACGAGGACAGCTCCTTGTCTTATTCTATGGTCCCCCTGTTCCTGTTCTATGCTGTCAATGAGGTTATGTTGGACATTACTAGCTCCTTGTCCTATCTGATGATCCTCTTAGTTCTGGATTGCTGTATACATGACATTATTTCACATGAGGACAGCTCCTTGTCGTGTTCTATGGTCCCCTTGTTTCTGGTCTATGCTGTCATTGAGGTTATGTTGGACATTACTAGCTCCTTGTCCTATCTGATGATCCTCTTAGTTCTGGATTGCTGTATACATGACATTATTTCACATGAGGACAGCTCCTTGTCGTGTTCTATGGTCCCCTTGTTTCTGGTCTATGCTGTCATTGAGGTTATGTTGGACATTACTAGCTCCTTGTCCTATCTGATGATCCTCTTAGTTCTGGATTGCTGTATACATGACATTATTTCACACGAGGACAACTCCTTGTCTTATTCTATGGTCCCCTTGTTCCTGGTCTATGCTGTCAATGAGGTTATGTAGGACATTACTAGCTCCTTGTCCTATCCGATGATCCACTTACTTCTGGACTGTGCTACCGATGTGACTCAGCTATACAGTTCTAGCTTCTTGTCCTCTTCGATGATCCTCTTATTTCTGAACTGTGCTACTGATGTGACTCAGCTATACAGTTCTAGCTTCTTGTCCTCTTCGATGATCCTCTTATTTCTGAACTGTGCTACTGATGTGACTCAGCTATACAGTTCTAGCTTCTTGTCCTCTTCGATGATCCTCTTATTTTTGAACTGTGCTACTGATGTGTCTGAACTATATAGCTCTACCTTCTTGCCTTCTTCGATGATCCTCTCACTTCTGAACTGTGCTACTGATGTGACTCAGCTATATAGCTTTAGCTTCTTGTCCTCTTCGATGGTCCTCTTATTTCTGGACTGTGCTACTGACGAAACTTGGCTAGAGAGTTCTTCCTTGTCCTACCTCATGGTCCTCTAGTTTCTGATATCAATGAAACCATGTTGAACGTGGCTAACTCCTTGTCCTATCTGATCCATCTGCTTCTAAACTGTTTCAGAGATGAGGCTACATTAGACATCGTTAACTGCTTGCTGCATTTGATTCTCTCGTTTCGAAACTGTGTTAGAGATGAAGTTACATTAGAGATTCTTTTAACTCCTTTTTCCTAATTGATCCGCACTGATTGATCCTCTTACTTCCAGAGTGTTTCAAAGAAGATGCTGCATTTAGACATTGCTTCTTCTTTTCCCTGATCGGTCCTCTTACTTCCAGACTGTTTCAGAGAAGAGACTACATTTAGACATTATCAGCCCGTTGTCCTATCCCATCCTCTCGCCACTATACCGTGACAAGGATTAAGTAATGTGGTACATTTCCAGCTCGATTCTCTTCCTCGCACCATGTTAAACTCTTCCTTAATCGATCCTCCGGCTTCGAGACTGCGTTAGAGACTCCGATTGCTCAACAAGACAAAGATAGAACGGATTCAGCAGAGAACGGAGAATGGAACGACCATTTCGGGACAGCCAGCAGCCGTGGCAACCTTGAAAAAGATTCACGAGCCTGTTCACAGCAAACCACAGATCTCTCTTTCTCTCTATCATTTTTTCTATTTAAGATCGTTCATCATCCTCTCGCTACTTTATCACCCATGCATGCACGGCCAGGTGCGCGCGCACGGTTCGCACGATCCCTTGGGCGGACGTTAGTGTAATATAATATAGCGTTAGTATGTAAGGCCTGTCGCAAGTTGCTATCCCGGTCGGAAACGGCGATGATCGCGATAGCCGCCTGTTCACTGAAAACAATAAAAACATGAGTAACCGCTGGACGACCCGTGTTTCGGACTTACTGCGCGCTGTTCATCTCCGTTTATATCTCAACCGTTGAAAAAACCTCCGCTCGGGTTACCGCTTCGCCGTGTTTACACGCGCGACGGTTCAGGCCGGCGAAAGTAATTCGAGAGCGGCCGACCATTTACTTATCGTTGATTCCGAGGACAATTACATATACGTGTCCGCCGGTCCGGTCGAGAATTGTCAACGGCACTCGAGGCTGTTCATTAACACCGCCGCGCGACAACAACGGCTCGCCAAGGCCTCTCCAGATCGTCGAGTTCAAGTCCGCTGTACCCGCGGTAATCACGCTTGTCAGATGTTCCAAGATCTCTCGCTTGCGATGACTCGGTGGATAGAAAAGTAAAATGCTCGACCGCAGATCGTAAGAGATTCCGAACGATTGTTCCGAGCGATTGTTCGAACGCTGCGACAGCAGACGTTGATTTAATATTAATGATTAATTTTATTACATAATTATCATATTATAATATATAATTATGTTATAATAATTATATAATTATTTTATGTAACTATTATATTATATAATAATTGTATAATTATCATATAACTATTGTATTATAATAATTACGTAATTATTAATAACTATTATATTATAATAATTATATAATATATACGATCTTCTGAATAACTATATTACGTAATTATTAATAACTATTATATTATAATAATTGTATAATATATACGATTTTCTGAATAACTATAGTACGTAATTATTAATAACTATTATATTATAATAATTATATAACATATACAATCTTATTAGTAACTATATTACACAATTATCAATTAATAGTAATTAATATTAATCGGTTGATTTAATATTAATTCTTGACGCGTTTTTACGGCGAGAAAAGTACTTCTTTATGCGGCACAGGTCTCCTTTTTTTTCGTCGCGTTAATTACTCGATAAACGGACCTCCATTGACGGTACAGCTAATTCTTGTTTCCGTGTTTGCTCGGAAATAACACAACAAGAGAAGGATAAACACGGACCCAAGAAATTAGCGACATTGAACGAGCTCGCCGCGTTTGATGAAGGGCACAGTTGTTCATTCGTTGGCGATTAGCATCCACGAACCGGGGACCTTGACCCGGTCCAGAGAAACACCGGTTTGACACAACCGGTTCAGTGAAGGCAGTTGAACCGTCGTTCGGGGAATAAAAAGGTGGCCTACTTCGCTGATATTTTGACAGGCGGACCCAGTGAAAGGCGATCCACATCCACGGAAATTACCACGGTTTGGTTGCAGGTGCCGTTATGGGACACTTCCTTTTCACTTCTGGTCCCGAACCAGTACAGCGTCTTCCTCGTTTCGTTGGCAATCATCTGGGAGAACTCCATTAACACATCAACCGTCCATATACGGGGTGTCCCGTTCGAAGACTTGCATTCCATTATCTCCCAAACTAGGACAGATGTCCCAATTTCCGAGCCCTTCGACCCTATTTTTGAAGATATTTCGTCGTGTCACGAGAATTAGTAACTTAACCCTTTGCACTCCGCTGTCCCCTCTCGTGGGACATTAGTGATTACGGGGAATTGAGTTATTTCAGCGCAACTTTTTGAGACATGCATGTTTCCCTGAAGTTTTCTCTTGAAATGGCACAAGAAATCAAATCAAAATATAGTAAAATTACTAAGATATATACAAGAAATGTCAGCGGGTTTTGACGAGAACGTGAGAGGCGTGCTCACGACGGTCCGAGCACTTCAAAGGCGCCATTTGAAAAGAGCGATAAGGCAAGTTTGT